TGAGCAGCCATCATGTGATTGCTTTTGGCTCCATTTGTGCAGCTGAACACATTAGGCTTTGTGAAACGGTCAAGAGGAGCATAAAGACGCTGTAAATGACTGAACGCTTCCGGATCCGAGACTGGGAGCGTGTTCAGCACATCTGTGCATGAATAGCGCAGAGGGAGGAAAACCCGAGTGTCCTACTTGCACGTCCCTCACTCATTCTGCTCAGTTTGAGATCCATGCGGGTGTTGGTAAAAAAAAAAAAAAAAAAAGCAGTCAAAGTGTTTCAGTTGTGTTATTTAATATTGCATATCTGCCATTAATAGAAGAAATCTCATTCTCTCTCTCTCTGAGAAGATTGTTCACTGTTTCGTTTAAAGATTTTCTGGAGAATTTTGTCCTGCGTTTAGTCTGGCTTTCTACCACAGTCCACAAAACATGACAGGGAGCTTAAGTGGTCTCTTGTGAATTGTCCTCGGTTGTGGATGAAAACATTTTCCGAGCTTTATTGAGCTTAATAAGAGTGTGTCTGATTACTTATTTAGTGCTTTTATCATTCCAATGAATGAAGTTTAATATTTTTTGCATTGTCATAAGCTACAGCCATTTTGCTTTTCAAATCAATAAAACATATTATTTTTAGCATCCTATGCAAACCTTCAAACAGAAACAGATTTTTATCTGATATGTTAAGAGTTCACATGAAAACACATCTTTTTAATTGCCTATTATTTTAAATTTTTTGTACTTTTTAAAAAACATTTTTAAAATTTCATTGGTAAATTGTGTTGTTTTTTGGGGGGGGGGGGTTTTCTGATCTGTAAGTTAATGTAGAGTTTGAAACCAAAGCCAGAGGAGTAAAAGTCCAGTACAACTGAGGTCTTGTCATGCTGAGGTTTTTTTTTTTTTTGCTCCTCAGGTACCTTTAATGCTAATGTCGGATTAGAGCCTGGTGGTCTTGCTAGATCTAACCTGGCTGGACAGGTTAAGGAGTATCAGCCAGACCGAAGTGTGCGCTGGCTGAATTTTATGAGCTAAGCTTACATAGAGCTAAGATAAAGAAGAAAACACACAAAACAGCGTTACAAAACCACAAAATAAATAAAAAAAATGGGACGTCTCCACGCGAGGAGCCACGAGGCCAACTCAGTTCTGTCAAGCGTGAAAATTAACATCGACAGATGGAACAAGGTGACATTACGCAAGGGAAGAGAGATCAGACGAGCAGCAGTTTAGATGAGAAACTTCAACCTTTCCTTGAAATGAGAGGAATTAAAGAAATGGTAACATGGTGGACAGAGGAAACTGACTTGGCGTGCCCAGGGGAATGGTAAGAAGGAACGAAAGCGAAGCTGACAGGGAAACCCGCAGGCAAGAAACTAGGCTATATTTGCATCCAGCAGGAGAGGAGGGCAGAGGACTGGGATGGCTAAAGAACTGCTGTCAGTGACCCATTCTGAAAGGAAGCAGATAAGCTGATGATGATGGCTGAGGTATTTGGTTAATTCATGACCTCAGAAGAAATAGTTTCGGCTGACAGTAGAGTTGAGCTCCGAGTCTGAAGCTAAACAATTTGCAAATTTCATTAATTGGTTCTTCGACTGCATTACATTTCCTTCAGTTGTAGCATTTGTGTGGAGAAGTATTGAAGTCGTTGGTGTTGGTCAACCAATCAGAATCAGACTTTAAAGAACATGTTCTCACATTTCAGGCAAACTAATGAAATTTTTCTTTTTTTTTAATCACATTTCTCAGACTTATGGGAGAGTAAATATCTCCTGGCTGAAGCTCTTTCAAGTTCAAAGCATCAACAAAACATTTTTTATTATTTTATAGACTTACTTGTTTTATATATTTTTAAAAATATTTTTTAAATGTTTATGTCAGAATGACACCATATGTGACACATATCAGAATATGTTGACACATGGAGACTGATTGTAACACTTCAGGGTCAGACACACACATTCATATCGTTATGGCTCAGGATGCCTCTCGCAAGGGATAAGAGGATGTTAAATCTAAAACATTCTTTACAACATTTTAAAGAAAAGCGGCTCTTGTGGGTGAAAGTTCTGATCTGTTTTTGATTCGATCTCTGATGGCTCAGAAATAATATCTTATAAATTTCTGTGTGTTTGGGAGGAATGTAATCTAATTACCAAACGACAAGTGTATCCTGCATTTCCCACATAATCTTCACTGTATTTTTATTTTTTTTTATCTGCAGCTTGCAAACATTACATTTCACCAGTATTACTGACACATCTGTTTGGGAGCATGCAGAAGGTCCATTACATTTTTGCCACAAGGAGCTGAATGTTTTTGTGCCTCGGGGGGCCAGACTGGAACTCCCTTCAGCAAGCAGCCATCCGTGAAATGGGAAAATCTATAACCCGTTTAATTCTGTTCTCTGTAGATCACGGCCTTCTCTCCAAGTGACACGAGAAGGCCTGCAAGCAGCGGTGACCTGCAGACAACCTTCCCCTGTCCTTCCTGCAAAATTGAAATAAACAATAACTCTTACGTTGTCCAGTTCGCCCACACTGTTTTCCCCTGACTAAGCACTTTAGTATTTGAGTTTCACAATGCTACTACATTTATATTTAGACACATATTTTTATTTCAGCATGCTTGGCCAAATAATCAGTACTTCTCGAGCATTAATTAATATAATCTACACCGGATTCCTCATAGTCCTTGCATGATTAAGCAGTCCGTGGAGCTGTCTGTCTGCTTTTCTCTTGTTTGATTAACGTGGTTTGAGCCGCAAGCTGTCAAGAAGTAGATGCGTTAGGACGATCACCTTTTCAGTTAAAAGGAAAACATTTCAAAACTTCATCCTCCAGGGATGCAGTCACAATCTTAGTCACTCTGGCTCTCTGCAGCCTGCCCTTTAGAACTATTCAAAGACTAAAAAGATGAATGAGGCAGATATCTGGCAGGGACTCACTGAATTTCAATTTACTGGATGGCTCCGTAGGTTACATAATGCCAAACATGGATTTTTTTTCTTCCCCCACCTTGCTGATGAATATTGCTTTCAAGGGCCTATAGCATCCTGGATGCAATTTTAACCAAGTGTTTTTTAGTTCATTGACCGCTAAAAATATGAAAAAATAAAATAAAATAAAGAAGTAAGCCAATATGACTGATTCATGCTTCTACTTTTTTGGTTAAAATGTAGACCAAGTTGTGTGAGACTTTTGGTGCCATTAAATGGGAAATGTAGAGATGCTAAAACATTTTATGACTTTTTTAAACCTGCCGTTGTTGACACGTTTATGCGTGTGTCACGTTCTTTCTGAACTTCTGCTCTTCAGCTTCCTGCTCTTGTTGTCCTACGTGTCACTGTGGCCTGAAGGCGACTCCTGCCTGATATCAGTGTGGTGTGAATAAGTAGGCCACCGATGTGACTGTCAGCTGTGTATCAGTTGTATATAGATCTGTCCCCCTACTTATCTGGGGACAGTAAAGCAGATTGCTACTGTGAATCTGTGAATGGGGGTGCAAAAGTAAGCGTAGATATACAGCAAAAACTCCCTGTGTGCTGCTCTTAATCACATCAGTGAGACAGAGGGGAGCAGATAAGGAGATGAGAGACCGTCACCGAGAAGTTTAATTAGGTCTGCCTCACTCACCTTATACTCTACAAAATATGACGAGTAGATATCACTGTCCCCTTTTTTTGTGTCAGTGGCTTTTAAAACAAAGGACAATTGGAAAGAACTGAAAATGTTCTAAAGATTGTTTTTTTTTTTTTTTTGACATTTTGACAAAGTTTCTTTTGTCACTCTTTTGACAAAGTGAAAATCATGTTCTATGGTTTCATTACACGAGGAGGGAAATATTACAAGCTTTTATTTCTTGAAATAAAACCAAAGATTCAGTGTCAGAAAACTGGAAGATTACAAGATCAATTTAAAAAAAAACATATATTTTAAAGAGAATTATCAGGCTTTTATAAAGTATGTTCATTTCTATGCACTACATACTTTTTGGGCCTCCATTTGCATTAATTTGCTATTAGCAACTTATATTTTATATATATTCATCATCAGCAGCAGCAGCTTTATTAAAGACACAAATAAGTCCATAGACAGATAATTTAAGAAAATAAAAAAGAAAGAAACAATCACATAAAAAGATAATAATCACATATCGTATACAAGTCACTGATTTACCGAAAAGCTAGATGGCCAGGGATTCCATATTGTGGACTTAAACCTGACTGAGCTGTGTGAAATATCTGTTAGTATCTGGATGATGTTGTTTGTAGAAACCTTACTAGATAGAACCAGACTACTGTCAAGGCAGAATGGCATCAAATGATTTGCAAATATTGAACTTTTATCAGAAATATCTGCATTCATGTCGCCCACAATTAAATATTGGTATTTACTACTAAATGCCCCATTTAGTTGTATTTTCTGTAAAATTGCTGACCCTTTGCTGTCAAAGCAAATAGTGTCTTGATCCAAATGCCACACAAATTCACTTTAGTAAATATGAGAAATGATGAACTAGAACTATAATTGAGCATGCAAGAAACTGGCTTTCTTAGGTGATGAAGACATCAGAGATCAAGCTTTATTTTACAAGGACCATGTTAGTTCATGAAAACATGAGAAAACAGCTCTGCTCTGACATTCCAGTCACAATTTATTTTTCTAAAGTATGTTTTCTTTATTACGTGCGCATTGTTTGCTATTTTGTCTATGATTACATATAAACTCTTAATACTCACTTTTTTGCCTCATATGATCAATATCCTCAGTTCCACGAACTGTATAGAGCAACAATTATAGAAGAGCTGTAAAAGGAAACAGGACGAGCTTAAAACTATATTGAAACTTATTTATTTAAGCTTCGTTCTCTCGTAGACACAATAACAGGATATTATTGAGGGATTCAGACACGTAATTTGCCTGCGTTATCCATTAATTCCCATTTCCCTATCTAGACGGCACAGATCTATGGCCATTCAGTCGTGCCTTGACAACGTCGGGACCGCGCATGTCAGGATCGTTGCAGAGATCCTGCTGCCTTGGCTCTCACGATCAATCGTGAGGATGGTGTTGTCTGCGAGGGGCTACGGACGCCTCGTTTTTTGTTTTTAAAACAGATGTCGGGAGCCGATGAAGTCACATGAAAACGGACTCTAACACCTCCTGAAGCCGACTGTCTGTGGAGAAAAAGACGCCACTGTCAGACCAAGGACAACGCTAACATTACTGATGGAATTCCCAGTCGTTGCTAGATGGAGAAGCCGAAAGGGTGGACTCGTTATAAATAATTAAAGAACACATCTGCTGCTAAAATAGAAGGAAAATGCATCTGCACCAGGTGCTGACGGGGGCGGTGAACCCTGGGGATTGTTGCTACTCGGTGGGGAGCGTTAATGACATTCCCTTCACGGTGAGGCTTTGAATTTTATTGCTGTTTGCACAAAATGACAGCGGTTCGGGCTAACCACTGACTAGCTAGCTGGGACAGTTCGCCAGCTGACGCTTACGTCCACCGCAGACGCGGCTGGCGAGCGAGCTAAAGCACCAGCTAGCCGGGTTACCTTAGCAGAAGAGCCGCACCGACATATTCCCAGAGTCCAGACTACAAGTAGCATCCTAATCACGTCCTCTTTCTGATTTACTCCCACGGCCGTCATTGATAAGCTAAATATGCTGCGAGTGACATGTTATCGCATTGAGCAACCCAGGCACTCAGGTGACCTTTAGCTGCATCTTAAAACGTTAGAATTACCGCAAGGGAATCCCTGTTTTTGCGCAGCCATAAGGTTATTGAGGAAACATATTTACTACGGGACCAACTCCGACTAAATAATGAAGCTGGGCGGTGCAATTTCCCCGAGACCAGAATAGCGTTTAGGCATTGTATATTCTTGTATGTGGTCGTTGCACAGGCTAAGCTCGCTACCATTTGGCGTTAAATCCTCCTCACGGATCCTTCGCTCGCTGTCATCCCGGCATCAGCTGCGCCTGCCATGACGTAGAGAGCCATATATGGATACATGCGCTAAAAAAGCCTGACTGGCACTGTTTGTTGTTCAGATTCAGAATGTTGCACATTTTAACCCAACTCTGTCTACCACAATTTTTACACGCAGGACTCAGAATATAGACGAATATTACCGAAAAAATATGAGTTATTTGTATTTTAGATGCTGGTGTAGGACAGCAGTCATTCAGTAACCTGTTTATAAACATGCTGATTAAACAAGGAACACACACACACACAAAAAAAATCTGTGTTTGTGATTTGTTGACCCCTTTGGGTTGTAAAAATCAATGTGTCAGTCTGTGGTCTGGCAGCTTCCCAAAATTACTGTGTGCCTCAAGTAGATAGCACAGAGAAGCCAAATCAATATTCCATTTTGTGCAGTGGGTGATGGCAAAAAATCTACAGTCTCTGGTATGCAACGTGCTCCTACTTGTTGGCATTAAGTCGATTGGTCCAGGCAAAGCATTGAGATAAGGAATGTAAATAACAAAATGGAGGAATTCTTGAGTCAGCTGGGTTATGAATGCCTGCAGGAGGCTTATCGAACATCTTGTAAGGGGGGGGGGGGACAACAGAACCTTGATTAGGAGAACACAATATCCTGAAATACAGTTTTGCTAAATGATCCGTATGAAGTATTGAAGGTAGCCTGTGTTGTGCCAGTTTGCATGACTTGAATCTGCTGAATGTGTGTTAGAAATTCTTCAGCAGCTTTCAAGCACAACAGCAAACAAAAACGAAACTCTGTGGGCCTGTTCCTGAAACACGTTGCTTATGGTGTTATTTATAACATCTTTTAACATCAAAACATGCAGATGGATCGCTTTTCCTCTTCTTTTTCTGATTTTCCCCCAATCTGTTGGACTATACAAGACAAATATTGTTAAACTATGGCAGGGTCTTCTCCAACCTTGCCCTAGAACCCGGTTTCCAGATGAAGGCAGTTCAAATGTAAGCAGGCGGATGTTGAACCCGCGGTCATATCTGCTCAACAGCAAAGGGATGGTTGTAAAGCTAAAGCCTTGGTAGTCGCTACAGGGCCCTGATTTCTATGTCTGGTGTTTTTCTTTCTGTGTTTGAGAGGGTTATTTGAAGAGCACTAGACATCATGTCCAATGCGTTTACGCTCACACTGACCCCTAAGGCTCCTAGGCTTGACCCTGACAAACACAAATACATAGCTTACGTCGACCATGAATGGACAAGCTTTGGCAAGGCATTAACGGCGATTCATGGTTAGATTTATTCTTGGATACGATAAGAGATTTCCTTAAAGTAACACCGACAGTGAACCTTGTCTGACCTGTTAGATGGTGTTTGTTTGTTTTTTTTTTAGAGTCTGCCTCCAGACTAGCTAAAGGCCTTTTACATTAGTAACTGAGGAAAAAATAGATATCAGAAAATATAATGCTGGCTAATTTTTAACCAGCATTTTAACACAAGTTTTCCCTACAATGATGTAAAACAAATAAATAAATAAAGATAGAAAGTGAGACTGGTTTTATGAACTTGCTTTTTTTTTTTTTTACAGATATGCTTGGTTTTGGTGCAGACTAATGGCACTTTCACACCAGATTTGTTTGGATTATCTAATTTGTTTGAGCAAGATTGGCTGCTGTTGGAGCTGTGGTTTGGACCTAATAAGCCAATCTATCTGTATGATTGACGGAAATCTGTGTGGCCTGAAAATTATAGGAGTTTTTAGCTTTGACTCATGTAATGAATAGGAGGAAAACAAAAATCAAATTCTCAACATTTGTCCATCACTGAACAGAACTGAACGTGACGCATCAGAAATTGTCCGATTCTGTTTCTCTGTTGAATTAATTGGACTGTTTGTTGAAGAACTGTAATCAACAAGACTACTGAAAGCCTCTTTTTATTATTATTATTATTATTAAACTAAATTAAATTGTGTTTTGAGTCATTACGGGGCTTTTGTAAGTCTAGGACATTTTACAAGGACTTGCCTATTGCCTAAATAGAAATCACCAAAACGAATCAAAAATGCAGACAAAATACACTTTATCTGGCAGTAATTATGGCTGAGGATTCTTGTTTTTCACCTCAATGTCGCACTTTGTGGAGTGTCTGTGTGTGCGCGGAGTCTTATAGTTGGCTGAACAAAGAGGCCACTGTTAAATGTGCCGTTTGTAGGATTATTGTTATGACGGAAAATGTTAAATAGTGTCTGGGAGCAGGTGCAGAGCTCTTTATGTTTAATGGTGAAAGCCTAGTCAGCTCTGCAGACTCTATGTGTACATTTACCCCGTATGACTGTGCAGACTGAATAATGGCTGAATTTTATTTTTATTTTTTTAAGGTTTATGTCTGCTTTTTTTCTTACTTGATTTACAGGAATAACCCACCAAATTGGAAAAAAAAAAAAAAAAAAAAGGCAAAGAATTTTGGGCAAGATGTACAACTTTTTATTTCTCTAAGGAATTTTCTCTCGTGTGAATTTAAACTGTAACCAGAATTCAAAGGTGAAAGCCTGACGGAGAGGCACCGAGCACGACCTGGATCTCGTGCAGTTTTCTCGTCGTAAGCATCTGTTTTGTTTGCTGTCATGTGACACAATAGCAAAGGCCCCAAAAGTATAACTGCACACAGAGGGTCAGAGTACAGGTTATATGGATAAACTGTGCCTAAGCTGACAGAACCATCACAGTTTACGACGGGTCAACAACTGATAAACTATAGTCAAAATGTTACCCTCTAAACATGCTAGCTGAGACAAACATGGATCTCACACTTGATACTAGCAGCTGTGGTTGTGGAAAATGTGTCAGTTTTTGATGTATGAAGGCAGAAGTGTTTTATCATTCTCCTTCCTCTTATCTGTTTCCATCAAAGCACATGACTGCTTTTGCTCCTTTTGTTGAAAACACACACACACAGTTAAAAGCAGCTTCATGTTTGTCCTGTGACAGTTTACCTTTGCTATCTTTCAAAAGTCCGCAGTTTGCTGACTTTGCTTTCAAAAGTGATACGGGAAGAAATCTAAAGTAGGTAAAAAAAAATAAAAATAAATCTAACGTATGCTGTTGATTTTCTTAGAGCACTGGGGTTTTTTTCAGACAGTGCTGCTGAAAGTACAAAATTAGAATAACCTCTAAAAACCTCAGATTTTTTAAATTGTTTATTTTATCATGACGTTTTAAAGTGCAGTTCCCTGTTTTGAGGCTCTGCTTATTGTTACACCATACCCAGTTGTATTCTTGCTAGATAATGCTTTTATGTCAAACAACTTTGGGGATGTTGCTGCATTTGCATTGCACTAAATAAACCACTGAATGGTTTGTGCTGCCTGGATTCAATGGAATGATCAAAAGCAGTCTGATCAAAAAAGCAGTCATTAATCTAATCTGATCAATGACTGCAAATATTATGTAATTTGATCTAATTCAATCAAATTAGATTATTTGATCTAATCTTTTCTTGGATCAAATACTTAGCTTTTCTAGCTTTACAGTGTTTTGATTGGACGAGGTTTTCAAAAGATGTCGGAATTTCAGCTTAGTTCATTTGGAAAATAAAAACATCTGTCAATCAGTTCCATAATCTCTAAATATATAAAATAGAAAATGAATCTTTCTGTAAATACGTCAGTATTATCTGTTGCATTGTCCATTGATTAATCTGTCTTTTTTTTTTCTAAAATGCGGCCCAAACGAGAAACAGAACTGCTCAAAATGTAAAAGGAGTGTAATATAAAATCCTCAGAAAAATATCTGGATAGTTAGATTTCATTTTATTTTATTTGAGCATTGCTGTGGAAATGTATCTTCACAATTCTTCAGAGTACTTGCCAAGAAACAATGAGCAGAAATGCAAAGGTACATGAGTAGGAAATGGTCTGGTCCAGGTGTACAAAGTAGGTTGTTGTTCTGATAAAAAAAAAAACCTTTAATACATGCTAATAATAGGACCTTAGTTTCTCAGTGAACTGCTTTCAGATACATTATTGTTTTTACTTAAGACCCTACTGTCAGTTTACTGACAATTATAAACAGCTTTTATTTAAGAACATCTTTCAGTAAAAACCTGCAAATTGTTGATTTGTATTTTCTCAGGAAAAAAGAAGATGATTATAAAATAATGTTCTAATGATTTCTCATTTTACTTTTGACTTTTAAGTCTTCCCCTTATTGCTGTTTCCCACTTTAACACGTGTACTTCTTTTCCACAGAAACCGGTAGACACATGATGTGCTAAAATGCTTTTTTGTTTCAGATCAAGGCAACGACTCGCGTGCCACAGAATTTAGGAAATATAAAACTCTGTTGTTGGAGAGTTTTAGTTGTGTGGGCCACATTGTCTTTTAAAGTACAATCCTGAATCTCTATATCATTGTGTAACAATAAAATTAACTTTTGAATAGGACCAAATTTTAAATTGCCTCGTGATCCCAAAGCAATGTTTAAACTTTGAATATTTTTAACACGTCTTCTTTTGTGGGAAGAGAGAAACGATGCAAGCACACCAAGGCTCAACACGTCCAAGGTGTGAGGTGTGCTGCCGACAGACTGGGTAGAGTGAGCTCTCATATTATGCTTGTGTGTGTGTGTGTGTGTGTGTGACTAAGAGAGAGAGGTGCAAAGCAGTCCTAGACGGTGCGTGACGGTGACTGCTTTTAATTTCTGCTGTAATGTGCAGGTGGAAATGCTGCAGTAATAGTAAAGCAGCCGCTGCAGCTGCCTTAGCACTTTCTACAGCCTACAACCTAAATCTTAGCGAGGTCCAAACATGAGCCAGCAGCGGTCTCCAGTATTAACTTCACCCACTGGCTGTGGCGTTGTGCCGCTCCGTGACCCAGCAGTTCTCAGCTTCTCCTCCTGTTCTCCTGAATAATGAAAGACACGAGTCGTCATCTTGGCCGCGCTATTGCTTGCGAGGCCAGGCTTGCCTGTCTACCAGGTGCTGTTATCATCTCTGCCATTCTACTATTGCACGCCAGCTGACAGCTCTAACTGCTCTCAGATCAATTTACCTCTCCGTTCATGCTCCAAATCCAAATACAGGTCGTCCCACTGAGCCTGCTGGGATATAAGCCGGTGCTGTATTTATTTGAGCAGATGGTTACTTTTGAATTCTGCAATGTGTGTGGGTTATCGGCGATGTTATATAACTGCAGCAATGTGTTTAATATTAATTAGGTCTGTTGGAGTTTTGGTTTTCTTTAACGATAAATAAGAATGCTGCAGTAATTATTCTTCTGTTGTTCCTTTGAGAATGTTTCTCTCTCTTTTTCACCTTGCCTTACAAAATCAGCTGTTGCAGGAAATAACCTATAATCAACCCTTCAGTCAACATTAGTATGCAGTAATTCGCAATATTTGTAATGTCGAAATAGAGCCACGTTTGTGATTTTCTTTTCAAAGACGGTAAAATCAAGTGAGAGTCTTTCAAGGATGCTTAGAAGAAGAAGTACGAATAGGGAAAAACACTGCTTCCCTGCAAGACAGTTAAAACTATGGAAGCCTCGGTGTTTCATCTGGACAGCAGATGCCCTGAAGCCATCCGCTGTAAGGACCAGTTGTCCCTCAACATATGTAGCGAGATGTTTGAGCGTGTTGAAGCATGCTGCTTTGCATGTCTCTTTAGGAATTAACAATAGGGTTACAGACTTTGAAAGAAATGCCTGTGCAAGGTTTTTAATGTTTTTAGTACTTGCATTTTAAAATACCCTGGGTTCTATTGATTACAATCAATCTGGTCATTTGCGAAATACATAAAACATTTCGAAGCAAAAGCAGGTTCTTGCACACCTGAGGTTTTTCCTATAAACTAAATTGGGAAAGTGGCACATACAACAACACCAAGGAAACGCTGTAAGATAATGTGCCTGTTTTTATTTTCATGGTTGGTTCCAAATCATCAATAAATATCAGTTGAAGATTTGCCATAATTGTGTAAAGTCTGGCGGTGCAATTTAAATTAAGTTTTATTACAGCACTATTTGCAGTTGTGGAGCTCTGATCGTACACAGTGAAAAGTATTGAAAGAATGTTTGTGATAATTTTTTTTAAACCTCTTTTCAGCCACTGTTACCATTATCATAATGACCCGAAAAATATTGTGCTGAAATCCTCATCCCTAGTTATTCAACTGCTGTGTTTTTGTGCAAAACCTTCCCACTGTTTCTTTTTGCTTAGTTGGATGCAAATGATTCTTTTTAAGTAGAATTTTGCAAATATCCCCTTCAGTTTTTTACCCAGCACTATTTTTACGTTAAGTTACATTTTTGCTCCTCTACTTCCAAAAAAATAGAACAACATCCTGTTTTACTATTGTGATTTAGATTAACATAAGGGAGTTGATCTGTTGCTTTTATGCCTCATTTTGACCTGCAGATACGCATACAGGATTCTAATAATCATCTCTAGTCAAACTTTATTGCATGTTTATAACGGCTCGTGTTTCTGCTAATGGAAAACTGATAGTTTGTTGCAGCCAGAGATGCTTTTATTTTCCATTTACCAACTGCACCGCACAACTGGATATGTGAGTCACGATGACAGGTGCACAAGAGCCTCCCACACTGTGCATTTGTTTCTTGCATATTAAAGGACATGACGGTTTACTTCTGTATACACATGCATTTGCGTATCCCGAATTTTAATTGGCTTGTGTCGAAACTGAAAGCTTCAAACTGTGGACGCAGTTGTGAAGAGCTAGAGTACAAGATGTCATCTCGGGCGTGAAATTTAAAACCTTTCAACCTTGTTTCCTGTGTGTCCATCTCGTCTTCAGGCCTACGGATCAGGATGCGATGTAGTCATCTTGGCTAGCGACTTCGACTGCGTTCAGATTATCCCGGGAGCTCAGAATGGAAACATACAGGTGGGCTGTGTGGAGTGCTCCCACCAGCTTGGCAGGGTAAGTGTTGATTACACCCTTCAGATTTGTTCGCACATAGTTTTTGTCCGTCTGCGAGAACCGAGGATATTATCAATTATGTTGAGCAGAATGAGGAACATTCAGCCCTGTTTGCACCAGTCTTGTACTGCCCAAGCTCTGTCTGCTATCCTGCGCTCTTGTTTCACTCCCCTCTCTATCCTTCTGTCTTCTGGGAATGACTGTGCATAAGAGCTGATGGGGTGAGTAATGCTGCGATGATGAACATGGCTCTTTATTTTTAGATTGCCGCTTCTTACGGAAACACAGTCTGCATCTTTGAGCCGCTTTCTATCAATCCCAATAAACGCCACAAGGTGAGTACAGACACCAGCATATTTCACTGATTTTTGTGATTTCAGACAGCCTTCAGTGGATTTTCATTAAACTTGTGTGCAAATAACATTGCATGGTGTGTCTCGCTCTCCTACCGACTAATAGCAACTTAACTATCAGTGGCAAAAGACAGGACAGTTCTTTCTTGATGCCATCACCTACAACCTGGCCTGGGACCCGCAAGGTATACATACGCTTTCTGTGTTTTTAACCTTTTCCCAGAATAAAACGATCCACATTTTTATACACAGCTTCCACCCTTAGCCCCTTCGATTTGTCCGTAATGACATCTGTGGTATGAAAACATGACCGTATGCCTGCTGCATTGTGTGCTGTGGGAGTCGCCGTGGGACGTAGGGTGTGCTAATGAAGTGCTTTTGTGACCTCAGGGAACCGTATCCTGGCAGCAACTGAACGACTCCAGCTGTGGGCTCCTCCACTGGCAGACGCTCTCATAGAAGAGGAGGATGGGCAGATGATGGAGGACAAACCCCACCCTGTCCTCAGTGACTGGAACTGTGTCTGGCAGTGCAAGTGAGCGTTTGCCTTTTTCTGTCCATATAAGCGGAAATCATCAAATGAGTCTGTTGTCGGCAATGGCAGTAAAACAAACACCAAAAGGTCTTTTTGACAACACATCTGTTGATCCATGCATCATAATTATACAATCGTCTCCAAGCATGGCAGTTATGTTCACTGCCATGTCCAAAATCATAAAGTACCTACTCAGACCAATTGATTCACCAGGAGAGTTCACATTATACTGAGAAAACATTTACTGGTTGTGCAAATGTCTCCCAATGAGTCTGTCATTTTTATTTGCACTACTGGTGAACAGTATTTCAAGAACATGTCAAAAACACTCAAACTCTTAGATTGTATGCAGTTATTTTTCTCCCATATTTTCCTCTCATAAATGGTTTGAAAGGGAAGTTAAAACTGCACTCGGATATTCTAGACTTCATTTGGTTTAATTTGGGGAAAAAATTAAACCAAAGTAAACTAAAAGTAATTATTTTGATGCTGTAATGTTTTTTCTTGGATCACATTTGGATTTTTCCTCAACTTAAGTCTAAGGTTTCAGTTGGGTTATTAGCTTGGGGTTGAAATGGTTTTTCATCAGAGAAGAGTGTCTGTGTTGGGTGAGGAGAGATCCGCGCTCTCTGCTGTGTTCACTTCCACAAAGCTCTTCCACGTATCCTGCCTCGATGATCTTAGAGTTCTCACTCCTTCCCTTTTTCTGTTTTGCCAAAAAGTGGCTGCACATCAATTTGAATGATTATGTTAAAAGGTTTCAGTTCCTTCTGTGATTTCCGTGGAAGTTTCCAGATTATGCCACTGAAGACATTACGTCATTGTCCGTGTTGCCTTCCCGTGACTCAAAAGCCTTTTTATTGTTTCAGAAAAGTGAGTTATATACTAAAAAACGGATACAGAGATCATTTTTTTAAAATGTTTTTTTATACTTTCAAGATTTTCACTAAAAAATTATGAAGGTGTGTGCACCTTAACCTTTAGTTTTTAAATGTCACATGATATAAAGAAAGTTTTTTCCTCTCTAAAACCACTGTCCATTTTTGCTGTGGAAAATGTTATTACTTTTAAATGTTTTTGCTTTTACAGGTTAAAATCGAAACCAAAGTGATTTTTTTTTTCGTCACCTCCCTGTATTCTATGAAGTTATTAACTTATATTTTACACCCTGAACCTTGCGGAAGTATAACTTTTCCTCGTAAAACGTTATTGGTGGCTATGTTTTCTCCGAAAAGTGAGAAAACACTTGCTTAAAATGACTTTATGCCCAGCTGTAAGCCACTCCACAGTCACCAGACCTAGCTTAAAGCTGTGTAAACACACACACGCGATGTTACTAATTGGTATGTGATGACACATGGAAAGCCAGTGAAACAGGGAAGTGCAAGCTCACAGTGACGCAGCGCTCTGGACTTCCAAAATGCCTTTGGTTTTGTTTTTGTGCAGTCTTCCCCATTGAAAAGTGAACGTAACCAAACATGTTTGTGCTTATTGCTTTTTCTTTCGCAGGACCGCTGCGTCCATTCACACCGCCAAGTGGTCTCCTGATGGGGAGTACTTTGCAACGATTGGGAAGGTATGACTTTCATTTAAAAAAAAATAAAAAATGGAGCAAAAACTGATTGTCTGTGTGATGTTTGTCTCATGTGATGCCGTGTGTTGATGTCTGTGTTTGCGTAGGATGACTGTTTACTTAAGGTGTGGTATCCCACCACTGCCTGGCGCTCAGCGGTGGTGGTCCAGGACCCATCTGATAAAAAGTCTCCACCTGTTCACTTTTCCTTTGTTTACTTGGCCCATCCTCGCTCGGTCACTGGTATGTCCTGGAGGAAGACCAGCAAATACATGCCCAAGTAAGAAAAGACAGGATTCTGGTCAGAATAATGTCTTTTTGTTCTTCTAGTGTGAACAGTGCATGCAATCTTTTTAGCTGTTTTATCCATGGTTTCATGTTTTAAACAGACTGTCATAAAAAAATGTTAACGTTAACGGTTTTCCCTACGATCTTTACCAAACTGGGGGTTTTTTTATTTATAATGTTCTGAAAACTATATCAGTGCATCTTTTTTATGCATGATTCTTTTTACAGAACATGCCAACACATGCTGGACCTTACCCTAAATTAACAGTCACAACTAAATATTTATTCCTACCTCATAGCTTAATGATGATTTACTAAAGTGCCTCGTTTTACTAAAATCACATCTTACTAATTGCAGGAAGCCACTGGGAAATCTTCATCAGGTAGCAGAAAAAAGAAAACATTCTTATTTTGTTTGAACCAGCAAAATAGCGCTTCTTCCTTGGCCTACTAAAATCCAAAGTGAAAACATAGCCAAAGTGTCTCTCAGGGTGTTGTGTTTCAGACGGCATCCGAATCCCAGGATAATTCAGGGCTGGCTTTAAATAGCTCCGGCAGAAGAAAAGACGTTCTGTAGAGCTTGATCAGACTGTGTTGTTGCAGATGAGATGCTTCCCGCATTGATTTGTTTGACAATTGAAAATATGTATATATATTTTCAGATATTAATGAAGTTTTTTATCTAATCCAAGGTTTGATCACAATTAATCCGCTCGCCCAAAAAAACATATTTCTAGTGTAATGTCTTGCAGGAATTCTGCAGAAATACTGCTAAAAGTAATAATAATATAAAAAAAAACAACAGATCTGTGTTTCAGGGAATATTTGCCTGGTGCAAAAATATGCTGTAAAGGCTTCATCAGTCAAAGTATTTTTGATTTGAAACTGGACTTAATCGTTTGGAGACCAGGGATATTTTAAACACCATATTGATAAGATATGACTCTCTGTCTGGGTTTACAACGATTGTCTTGACATCTTTGCATCTCGAAAGCGGCTCAGAAAGTTTCGGTGAATGAATCTCGAACGTGTGATTTGCTTCTGATTTTTAGGGGAACGGTCTGCAACGTCTTGCTCACGTCCTGCGAGGACGGTGTGTGCAGGTTATGGTCAGAGACCCTACTACCAGAAGACAGCCTGCTGGGTGGGCAGATCACTGAGAACACACACACTTTCAGCTCCAGCCTCCCGGGTCTGGCAGGAAATAAGGACAAAATCCAGCACGCTTTAGAGGTGCGTTCTGCCTCAGCGCGCTCATTTGAAAACTGCGACAGATATTCGTGAATCTGCATTTCTCACCGTTTTTGTTTCTGAACTCTGCTTGCTTAGTCAATCCACCACCTGAAACAGTTGCGCCGGGGCCGGCGGCGGTCCTCTGCTCTGGTGGCCCACAGCGACCTGCTGCCCTCTCAGCTGGGCACACAAGACGCTCACACTCACCGCCACATTGCTCACCATGCCAACGCCCTGTGTCACTTTCATATCTCGGCCAGTATTAACCCAAACACAGGTAGGTTTCCTATTGTTTAGACGTTTTCACCCTCGTGCAGAGTTTTCATCTTCACCACAGGTTCTTTCTCGCTCCCTCTGCTCCTTCCTAGACATCCCCTCGACGCTGGCTGACTCCTCAGTATTCAACCCTGAAGACAGCACCGGTGGTGGAGGCTTTGTGGTTCACTGGCTTAACAACAAGGACCTCAGTTTCACTTCATCAATGGACCTTTTTATGTCGCAGCTCCGCAAATTCTCCGAGCATCACCTGGACCAGACTACTGACGAGCCTCTAGACGCCGAGGGATCCCCTATGAAGTTTGATTTTGGTATGGTTCACTTTCGGTTCCTCCAATGACTTTCTAAGCAATCCTAAAAGTCGCATAAAGTGGTGAAGAAAACATACGTTTTCTTTGTCTTCTTAGACCTGGATGAGATGTCTGACAAAGCGTCCTCGGAGCACGGAGAGGAGGGGGATTCAGGGGAACAAGGAAGCACTAAGGCGTCCTCGCCTGGATCCAGCTCCAGCATGCCGTTACCGTCCATGCTGCTGGAAAGGAAGATGGAGACTCTGACCATAGAGTGGAACAAGAGTCCAGACATGTTGTTCACAATACACCCCGCTGATGGTTCCTTCTTGGTTTGGCATGTGAAGTACTTGGATGAATTCAACCAGGGGATTTTCAGACAAGTTCAGGTAAGCAAGAAGATTAGCTATGAATATTTAGGTAGGCATTAATGGCTAAAAAGCATCAATTTTAAGAAACTAGCACTGCAAAAAGATAGTTGTTTGTTAAAGATGCTGTCCAGAGATGTATTTTTTTTAAAGTTAACAAATGTAGAGTGACATTAAAAAACCCCAAAAAGCATGGATTTCCACTGTGGGGTATCTAAACACACACAAAAAACACAGTGAAGAAAAATACAACAAATTCTGCTTCGAGTGTTCATAGCCAATGACATTTAAGAGGCAGAAGAGCTAATCAGCTGGTTTTAGTGAGCAGTTTGAGAGACCTTCTGCAGATTTTGACGGATTCTGAAGCGTCAAGTTATTGAATCTATTTATATTTCTGTTTTGAGTTATTCCTTATAACTAGATTTTTTCCGTATCCACCACTTGTAAAATGAGCAAATGCCATATTCAGCTTGTATCACCTCATGTCATATTGCTGTGATTTTATGTTTTAACCAGCTGTACAAAATACAACAAAGTATCAGTTTTATTACAACTATAGAAAGAAAAAAATCACTATTAACAATTTTTTTTTTTTCCTCCTCCAAATTTTCGCCAGGTCTCCTTCTCCTCGCGCATTCCGGTAGCATTTCCTGCAGGTGATGCCAACTCCCTAAGTAAAAACATCCTGATGTACGCCTGCACTTTGACTGAGAGCGAGAGCGCTGGTACCGGCGAACAGGGAAGAATGGTCCAGCGGATGTCCCGCTCAGCGTCCATATCCACCGGCCTGGGCTCCACCGCTGTCTCTCCCTCACCAAAACTTCGCCCTGGCATTAGCCCTGCCGTCATGATGGTGTCGAAGCACGTCGACGGATCTCTCAACCAGGTACAAGCCTGGGGATCGGCGTGTGATTTCTCACATGAATTTCAAATGACGTCTTTTATACTTTGCATCAGGGCCGTGCAGAGACCACTAAAGGGGCAGGTGCTCAAATAAAATAAAAAAAAGGCACATTAATAGGACAGACTATTAAAGCCACACAGCTTTCAGACTTTAATAAACAATGATAAATTACAAAACTGTGAGATATACAATCAAAGCTAAGGAAAATCTCTATATAGAGCATACAACTATGTATAAGATATTTTATTAGTAATTTCTTTCTGCAGGTCTATTTTGTTACTTTCCTATTTTGTTATAGGAAAGTATTGCAATATTCAAACCTGGAATTTAGCAAGATATGTAAATCAGAGCCAGACTTTACAGACAAAATATGTCTGTAAAGCCACATTTTGTCTTTACAGAATTACACTATTAAAAAAATATAAACAAGGGCACAATGCAACCTTTTAGTGCACTGTAATCTATATAAAAAAAGCTGCCTGTTTGCTACACTTGCAGTGGAGATGAAGATGGTCCATACAGGAAAGCAGAGCTGCATCAAACTTTATTGTGGAACTGCAGAAAAAAGACAAAAGCAAATAGTGAATTGTTAATGCATGTCACCATGAGAAAAGCCTACTGAGTTTTG